AGAAGATGAAAATTTGATAATTAATGACACAAATGATTTTTTTTTTTTTTTTAGTTGGTACTCACACATATTTGTTTTTTCTAAGAAGAACTCTTACCTCCTTTTGAGAAGTACGAGGCTGATACTGGCCATTGATAATGACACAAAAGACTTTAAATATCACTTGCAGAAGAAGGTGATGACACTCTATAGAATCAAACAAGAGGTTCTGCTTTTAATTATCAAGTGTTTCATAGAATTTGGACATACCATTTTATAGGATTTGGTGTGAATGATTTCTTACAAGGCGTGGCTCGTTGTAGTAAGCCACGGTCAATGGTGTGAGGCTCCCCACGGGCTGTGGGGGCTCGTCACATGTCGAGCCCCAAACATGTTGATGTTACTTTTATTGGCTCAAAATAATTGGCGAGCCTTTTGTGAGCGGGACTATTATTATTTTATTTTATTTATTTATTTATTATTATTATTATTATTTTTTTTTTTTATGATATGCATGTAAAGAACAAATACATAAATAATAAAAATAAGTGACCAATTCTACCAACACCATATCAATTGCATGGGCTGGGATCAAAATCCAGTAAGACCGGTCACAGCCAGTGAGTTAAAATCGTAAAAGTTAAAAATTAAAAAAATAAAATTTTTGTATATACATACACACATACATACGAGACTAAATCAAAATCAGACTAACTTTTTGCTCTTTTTTTCTCTCTCTACACAAACATTTCCCTAACCTACAACTTCTTATATATCACAACATTTTCCTAACCTACATCCCAATTTTCTCCTTACCAACATCCCACTTATTGTACAAATACATAAATAAACGTATCTTAGTATAAATTGTATATCAGAACATTTTCCTAACCTAAGTTACATCTCAATTTTTCCTTTACCAACATCCCAACTTTTTCCTCACCAACATTACACGATTCATTGCTTTATCTTGTTTGGGATGTACGTTAGAAAGATGTTGGGATGCTAGTAAGGAGAAATTTAGAAAATATTGGAATGTCGTTAAGAAGAAAGTTGAGATGTATAGACTTCGTATAGTTACACTAAAAACTGACTTACCTATATCCCAACTTTCCTCTTTCCAGCGTCCCAACTTTTTCCTTACCAACATTACACTATTCATTGTTTTATCTTGTTTGGGATACACGTTAGAAAAATATTGGGATACTAGTAAGGAGAAAGTTGGAATGTACGTTAGGAAAATATTGTGATGCAAGACCAACGTTCAAACATTTTTCTAACAAGAGAAATAGATGAATAGTAAACCGTATTCTAAGAAAATATTGGAATGTTGTTAAGAAGAAAGTTGGGATGTATAGATTTTGTATATATGCATTAAAAATTGACTTACTCTCTTTTATCTTTATTGACTAAGTTACGTGGCAAACTTAGTATGCATACACTCATACGTCTTCAGTAAAAATTGATTTACTTTCTTTTCTCTTTTTTGACTAATTGACGTGGCAAAATGGTATCCACATATCACTTACAGGCTGGGACATTGTGTTGGAGAGAATTTTGATCGATGACCACTAATTAGTAACTAGTCATGTCAAATTAATGGCGTGGCCAACAACAAAAAGTGACCATTCAGGTGGATGGTTACACAGAGATGGCCTTAATTTGTTATTTAATTCGTCAAAATGGATCAACAACTTCCAGTCTTTGAGATAGTAATTTTTTACAAAATTAAAATCTATAAAAAGATGTTGATTTCCTTCTCCAATCAAAGAAGCAAGAGAATTATATGGTGGCTTGTATTTATTGTTCCCAAAAAAAAAAAAAAAAAAAAAAAAAAAAACAGCCAATCTTGTGAACAGAGAAGCATGTGAAGCCCAAAAGCTCCTAATTCCATTGTTGGGGTATTTTAAGACTAATATCATATATATATATATATATATATATATATATATATATATATAAACACATAATATTATTGCAGCATTTGATCTTTATAAATAAAAGAAATTAACAAATAATAAACTATCAACTTTGTTAGCAACTATATGGCTAGATGTAAACAAAAGCTAGAAGATCGACTTTTTAATTGAAACTTAGAGAATCAAATCATATTCATACTGAAAACATATACTCCATATATGTATGTGTGTGCGCGCGCGGGCGCGCGCATTTAAGAGTAGTTAGTAACTATATTGTAAGGTAAAAACATCTTTTGATATTTACATAATTTAACATACTTATCAGTCATCAATAATCAACACATTAATCTAAATATCATCTCTTCAACCTTTCGAAATAAATGATGAGGGTTCAATTTTGATTTGAGCCGTAATGTTATATTAATTTGAGTTGTGATGAAGACATCATCACATCAATATAAATATGTGATAAATAATAATATTTCGAACTATCTCCGAAATTAGAAAGTGTCAACATACATACATATATATATATTCAATATATATATATATATATAGAAGTTAGAGGGTGTCATGATGAGCTGCGATAGGTTTCTAAACAAGTGTGTCATGACGCCAAAGTCTCAACAGTAGTATTTCACTAGAATCTAAATTCGTTCAGAGTCTCGAAACTCCTAATCTCCATCTACCAACTAGACAACTCATTGTATGTATTTTAAAATAAAAAATTATATTTTTGAAAAATATTTACATACCTTTCTAAAATTATAACATATATTCACAGTCAACTCTCAAATTACTTATATCATTTTTCCTATATGGAGGGTCCAATTCCATGAAGTGAGGGTGTCCTATTTAGGGGTGGGACTTGGGTAGGCCTAACCCGAGTAACCCGATTTCCGCTCGATGGTTAAACGGGAATGGGCAACGTCATTAAGACCATAGGATGGGACTACGTTTAAACTTTGGAGTTCGAATTTATTTTGGATGGGATTGGACAAAGATTTTAGTAACCTAAGGAATCCGAGGAACCCAAAGAACCCGAAATATAAGAATAATTTATAACTTAGGAAAAACACCCCTAAAATATACTCCATCTATCCCATATTAGTAGTCCTGTCTCATTTTTAAATGTCCCAAATTAATTATCTACTATGAAAAGTCAAAGCAAATAATTCATATCTTTCCATCATTGTCATTTATATTTTCAAAAAGTTTGAAATTTGATAAGAATACATATTTAAACTAAAAAGAACAAATTAGTAATTTCAAAAAGGGACAATGCATTAATTGCACGTCCCCTTAAAACTCCAATTTCTAAGTATGAACATCTAATATGGGATGGAGGGAGTACTCCGCATAGCAATTTTACCCTATATTTAAAAAAGGGTGCAAAAAATACCCCTAATCTTTTCATATTGTGCAAAAATACCCCCTCTAACATAAATTAGTATTGTAATACACGTTTTGCCCTTTTACTCTTTCAAAAATTCCCAAGAGGACATATATGCTACTAATCTTATAGTATAGGGGTGTTATATGCACATTACATTTCTTCTTCTTTTTTGAAACTTTTTCCTCTATATATCTCTAATCATTTTTGTAAAAAAACTTTAAGAATTTGTAAAATATAGATTTGTATTTTTTGAGATTTCAGTTGACTGTTTCTACTAAAATTTGTTTTTTTTTTATTTTATTTTTTTTCGTACCAACACTGTTAAAAAAATAAATAAATAAACTCCCGTTATCAATGTGAACTGGTTTTCGGAGTTTAAAGCTGATTTGTTTTCTTTCGTTTGCATCTTATTTTCGTTTTTTATTTTCTATTTTTATCTTTACTTTCTTTTATACTTCTATTTTTATTTTTATCTGTACTTGTCCATTGCCCGCGTCCTCCAATTGTGTTACTTTCGGTCATTTTATAAAATTATTTATTTTTATATACTCCATCTGTACCAAAATACTTGGGCATTTTGGAAACTGTGACTCACAATTCTCAAAGTATTGTGAGTCACAATTCCCAAAGTGTCCAACTATTTTGGAACGGATGAACTATTTTATAAAATAGTTCAGTAAGGGTAATTTAGTTAACTTAGGGTTTAAATTTGTGAGAATGACCTATTTGCACAAGATTGAAACTTTAAGGATGTTTTTTGTACGTGAGGGGCATCCTCCAATAGTATCATTTTCGGTCATTTTACAAAAAATTTTATTTTTATATATTTTATAAAATAGTCCAGTAAGATTAATTTAGTCAACTTAGGGTTTAAATTTGTCAAAGGGACTTGTTTGCATAAAATTTAAAATTTAAGGGTTTTTTTTGCACGTTAAGGGTGTGATATACACTGTAAACATATTTTAAAAATATTTTCTGCACTTGAACCTTGTAACTTTTATATAAGACTAATACTATAAGTAAAATAAAGTTAAATTTAAATTATTTGTAGTATCGGATTTATGGTATTCAACTAACTTTATTACTTTGACATGTTCATTTTTATAAAGTAAAAACTTATAATAATTAAATTTTAGTTAAGGAAACAAAACATTAAAGAATATCAACTATTGAATTCTTTCTAAGTTTTTATTATGGAACCTTTGGACCATATTATCTGTCTTGAAACTTGAAATGATTGATATATCTTTATTATAAATTATAAATTATTAGTATAACATCATATTACACATAATTTGGTTGTTTTTCTACTAGAGGTTTTATTTTATGTCAAGTTTATGTCACTTTATATTTTAACATTTTATTTAATACAAATTTATGTATTTTTCAGTTATTAAAATTTAGATAAATCTGAAAAATCTGTGTGTATGAAACGGGTTAAGATATAATGAATTTCTTGAGATTTGGACTGGTCACAAGTTAAGATATAATGAGTTTATTGAGATTTGGACTTGCCGCAAGTTACAGAAATTAGAACATTGTAATTGGCGTGGGTTAACCCTTTACCCGAACCCGGCCAAGTCCTACCCTACACCGTAAAGATCATTTAACGAGGCTTGGGGCTAGCCCCATTTCGTACAGTATCATTTGTCTGTTTCAATTAACTGCTGATTACAACCAATCTATCACTGACATGACCGAAAAAAAAACCACTCTGACCATTGAGTGCGCGCCCACACACACTCTCTCTCTCTCTCTCTCACGCACACACACACTTTAAGGTATAGATCCAAAGCGTCGTAGAATCAGTATCAGTTGGAATCTCCACATACGCACAGAACTTCCCCTCTCCTCTATGTTTCTCTCTCCCTCTAGTTTCTCTCTCTATATTATTATCATGGGTTTCCCGGCCAACGGCCCATCCGCGTCAGCCAAGCCCCTCAAGTTCCTCATCTACGGCCGGACCGGCTGGATAGGTGGCCTCCTCGGTGAGCTCTGCAAGTCCCAAGGCATCGACTTTGCCTACGGCTCCGGCCGCCTCGAGAACCGCTCCTCCCTCGAAGCCGACCTCGCCTCCGTCAAGCCGACCCACGTCTTCAATGCCGCCGGCGTTACCGGACGGCCCAACGTGGACTGGTGTGAATCGCATAAGGTCGAGACCATCCGGACCAATGTGGTCGGAACCCTAACCCTAGCCGACCTCTGCAGAGACAGAGAGCTCGTCTTGATCAATTACGCCACCGGCTGTATCTTCGAGTACGATCCGGATCACCCAATCGGGTCAGGTGTCGGGTTCAAGGAGGAGGACACGCCCAATTTTGTCGGATCGTTCTATTCCAAGACCAAGGCCATGGTGAGTTGCTCCATTCCAATCGGCAATCACATTGTTTACATAATTTACTTATTTAAAGAAGTATATTATAATTTAATGATTTTTCATGTTTATTTCTCATTAATGAATAATGTGACCTGTATTTATGCATTTTTCCTCTGTTTTTTATTTAGTGATGTTGGTTCTAGATATGCTATGATTTTGTCTGTAACTGGTTCAATTAACTTTATATATTAATGACGTGTGTTATAATCTTGCTCGTGGATTTGTTTGATGTGTATTAAATTGTAAATTTAGGATTTTTAAACACTGACCAATTGGCAATAGTGATCTATTTCAGATCACAAGGAGAGAATAATACAGAAGACAACCAAAAAACCAGTTTGGGGCTTACCCCAAGACCTGTAATCAAAATACATCAAAGAAAAGAAAACACTCAATCCAATAGAATGAATAAGATGACAGACAACCAGCAGCAGAATCAACAAAGGTGTGCGAGATCAGAAAGAGACAATCCAACTGCATCTAGACCTTCAAAACATGCTTTCATAGCTAGTCGATGTGGTGTGCTTGTGATACCACCATGAACCCTTATATTTCTTTCACCTCAAATGCACCACAATGTTGCTGTGAACAACATCATGACCAGTCTGCATTTCACTGTTTCTCCTTTAGTTTGAGTGATAAACCAGTCCACTACCTCTTAGAAGTGCTGCATCTGTAAAAGAGCATCCCAATGACTTAAGTGAGATAACCACTGCCACGCCTGCTTAGCATATGGACAACACCAAAATAGATGATCTCTGGTGTCAGCATTGGCATGACAGTTATGGCAAATGGCTGGACCTATAAAACCCCTCTTTCTGAGGTTATAATTGGAAGGGAAAGAGTTGAGGAGAATTAGAGCAGCCCGCAATTGAATTCTAGGTCAGCCTTGATTCCACATGAAATTGAATCAGCAGGCTCAGAGATAGGCAAATTCCTAAAGAACTGGCCAATTTCAACAGGCCAGTTTTCAGGAATATGCCATTCAGAATGAGACTTCAGCACTGCGAACTTGTCAGTATAATTAAATCCTGCAGAGAGAAAACTTCTGAGCCCAAATTTCTGCTGCAATGTTAGACCATTATACCATGGATCAGTGAATAATTTGAAGATCTGGCCATCACCAATGGATAAATTTAGATGCTGGAGCAAATGGTCTCTGTCATCCAAAATTGACTTCCAAATAATTGAATCTGTAGCTCTGGCATTTAATGTCTGAAAATATTGATGTAGGATCTCGAAATTGTGCCGGTTTGAATGCTAAATGTGAGATTGCATTTTCCTGTTATATTGTCCGAATCTTAAAAAGAAAACGAAGGACATCCATAAAATGCGTTTTCAAGAAATCTTAGATTGATTAGAACAAAGAACATTTTGGTTCGCATGCTCATACAATAGATATGGTTATGACCGTGAGATGAACCAATGATCTTCAGCTCAGTTCAAGATTGCTGAGCTAAGGTAGAAATTGGAAAACTTATAAAAAGTTCAAGATTGAAACTTGGAGTTTTTAACTTTTGGACTCCTGTTTGAAAATTATTCCCTCTTCTTCTAAATGAGATATTTTATGGTTTTTGCATGCAAAATGGATGGTTGTCTTCTGGGAATGGGTTACTAGCAGCGACTCCTATTTATCAGTAGCATATTGACACCTTGAAAAATTGTACTTTGAATTTAAGCTTGAGAATGTCACCCTACAAACACTTCATCTCTACGATACAACATTTGGCATCTCTTTGTCTACTCCGAAATCTGAAATTTGTATAATTGAAGTAAGATGCATCTGACCAAGGGCGTTGTAGGACAATGGTATAATGTCTACCTCCCAAAGTGGATGGTGAGGGTTCAAGTCCCCACAAGGGCAAATGGGTGTGAGTTTCTTGCCAAGGAAAAAAATAATAATAATAAATAAATAAAATAGAAGTAAAATGCATCTGAATTGATGCCCACAGGATTAAGTGAGTGTCCTTATGTATACAAGAAGGAACTTGCTATAGTTATTAAGGCATGTTTGGAATGCATTTCTTTGATGCATTCTTTCCAATTATTATTGCCTCATCGTTTATGTTCAACTTATTTTTAACATGTTTACTTTTTAAGAAAATAAGTTGTAGTTGCTTCCTCTTTTGAGTTGGAGATTTACTCATAACAGCAAGAGTCACCAGCTGATGGACCTTCACTCTGCTCAAACTTTCTGACAAAGATCCGGCTATCATGGTTCTTTTTTTATTTATGCTTTTCTTTTTCTCTTTTACTCTTAGAATCTATATATGTATGAGTATAATAAATAAATAAAAAATAAGGCATTTTGTTTCCCAATCTATTCTTATTTCTGAGGTGGTTTCTCTTTACTGATGTGAGTGCTTGTTACTTTAAGGATGTGCTATACACAAGAAAGTTGGACTTTGCTTTATGTACTTGTTAGTTCTGATAGTAGTTCCTTTTGCTGATCTGGAAAGGTGGAAGATTTGCTCAAAAATTACGAGAATGTCTGCACACTGCGTGTCAGGATGCCTATCTCATCCGATTTAACTAACCCCCGCAACTTCGTCACAAAGATCACTCGATATGAAAAGGTGGTGAACATACCAAACTCAATGACTATCTTGGATGAACTCATCCCCATTTCTATTGAGATGGCAAAGAGAAACCTCACTGGGATCTGGAATTTCACGAACCCTGGAGTGGTCAGCCACAATGAGATTTTGGAGATGTATCAGAATTACATTGATCCCAACTTTACATGGAAGAACTTTACACTTGAGGAGCAATCAAAGGTGATCATTGCTCCAAGGAGCAACAATGAGCTTGATGCCACCAAACTGAAGCGGGAATTTCCTGAACTCTCATCCATTAAGGAATCTCTCGTACAGTATGTGTTCATGCCAAATCAAAAGACCCCTGTAGCTTGAAACTTATAGGTTTGAAATTTTTGGTTCTTCATCTGCTATTTCTTAATTTTGTTTTTGTCTTCCCACATGACATGCAGATTCTGTATTGTGTATCTGAATGTTGTATTCGTATCAAATTGGTTATGAATAAATATTTGAATTTGATTTCTGAAGATTGCTTCTTTGTGCAGTTCACAAGGGTTTTATGTTTCCAGTGGCTTCCTATTTTCGGGGGCTGACATTGTTCCTTTTATGGTTTTCCCTCAATGATTTTTTGGTCAATTTGAAATAAATAGGTGCTATGACCATAGGTTCATATACTCCAAGTCACCAACTGCTCGGAAAAATTCTAGAGTACCCCGAAATACTTTGACACGTGGTACTCCTCCCAATCAAAATTTCTCATTTATCTTCAAACTTTGCACTTTACCCATTTACGAAAGAAGACATAGAGCTTTGATTGGTAGCAACGTGGGTTTCGTAGAATTTCTCAAGTGGTGGACAGTGTATTCAATTAACAAACATTTTTGGGCTAGGGATCGAACCTATTCTATGCTCTGCGTTCTCAAAAAACAGTGTCATTCCTATAGGGCCGGCTCAATGCAATTTGAGAATCAAGAGGAGAATTCTAAACTAGGCTTTTAGAATCATATCACCTCTTTTAAATTAGGCCTTTTGGATTAGTGGTAATTATTAGAAGTTTCAAAAGAATTAAGAAAAGAGGTGAAAAAAGAGAAGTAACAAAGTGCATTATATCACATTGTTCAATGTAAGCAAAATATTTTGCTTCTGAAAAAAATAATAATAATAATAATAAATGTAAGCAAAATAATGGAAAGAATAAAGGAAGTGTGTGATAATAGAAAAAGGATTAGGTTTAATTTATTAGTATCACCGGGAAGTCTCTATCTCTTACCAGAAGTTTTGAAAAATTAAATGAATTTCAATTTCAGCCCAGGTTTGCCTAGAAATTGGGTTTGGGTTTTTAACGAGCCCAAAATGTAATAATTTTGATTTACTAGTCATCATATAAAACTGAAGGTAGAGATACGTAAAGATTGCTCTTGATTCAAAATGGGTCATGATCCATGGACACAGTAGTATTTGAAAATAAAAAGGGATTTTGAAGTTTCATTTGGTGGCAAAAAAAAAAAAAAAAAAATAGTTTCATTTGGATTGGAGGATTTCCAATTAATAAATTTAGGTATCTAAGAAGTATTTTTTAGTTTAGATTTTAATAAGGGTTAAGTGCAAAAAAAAAACCCCTCATAATATACAAAATGTTCAATTAACTTTCAGCTGTTTGCAAAACCCCCCCTACATTATACAATTTGTGCAACTAAAGACATTAGGTCAATTTGGCATTGAAATGTCTAAATTACCCAAATATCAAAATTAAAAAATATATAATAATAAAAATCAAAATGCCCTCTCCTTTTTTTTTGGAAGGTCTCCCTTTCCAGTAACTTCCATATTTGTCTGTTTTTCTTTCTTTTCTTTTGCAACAACTTCCTTATATTTATTGATCTTATATATATATATATATATATATATATATCATGAATTCACGCAAATAAGCTCCATGGTCATAGACGAAAATTAAAGCAAATTGGGATAATGCCAAAACTAACGCAACATTATCTTATTGTAAAAGTCTGTACACATATAGATTTAGGACATATTCGGACATATTGTATCACATCTTGAGGTGTATCAATAATCGGTATATTTCAAGTTACCAATTAAATATTTTGTGGTGTTAGTTTCATATAATATATATATATATATATATATATATATATATTATCAAAGTAGTGATTTTCCGACAAGAGTTAATTGTTTGTTGTTGTGGTGATCTTTTATGTTGTAGAGAGAGAGAGACTTACCAAAAATATACATAGGGAGAGAAAGAGAGCTCGGAGAGACGGTTTAGAGAAAGAAAGTAAAGAGATATTTTATTTTATTTTTTTAATTTTCTATATCAGCAAGAGCATTTTGGGGTTTTTATAAAAAAAATCGTCAAAATTGATGATTAGGGAATAATTTGCTCAAAAGGTTGATAATAGGAGGATTTATATACACTTAATTGTTAGTAAGGGTATTTCTTGCACATTTTTTATATAGCAAAGGAGTTTTTTTTGCACTTAACCCTTTTAATAATTTAGATAACAAAAAACAAGATACAAGAGTTAACTAAAATTGGGTTTTGACTGATGCAATAAAGTCTCCCATGAATCAAAACTTTAATGGGCATTACTATTTTGAAGCTAAAATCCTTAATTTCAAATCCATTTATTCAAATGGAACATTGTAAAAAGATTTGTATAATTACGTTTATACCATAGCAACATTTACCATTCTTTATTAGATTGTATCAGCCATCAAATAAATATAAATTTCACAATCTATTCTTTTCAGCTCCAAATATAGCCATTGTGCCTCATTCCCATACTCATTTAACGTCTGAACAGTGAATTTCATTTCGAAATTAAACGCCACAACCTTGGATTAGCCTAAACCCAATGCAGATAATCATGCCCACTCTAGAACAAGCTCGTTTTTTATGGTGTATGCCCTTAAATATACGCCCCATTAATTCTCAATAATTCGGTAAACAGCCACAATTGCCGCTAATATGTTCAACATTTAAGCAGGCAGCCATAAAATGCAGAAATTTTCATGGCACACCAGGTTTGTGTGTGCTTTACGAAATTACAATACGCTTCTCGTTTAACAACATCCAACTTTTTTTCCCAAGATTTTTCAGGAACTTGGATAAAAATATGGACAGGCTTCACAATCATCAAAGGACAGAGATGTGTGTTTCATTAAGTTAAAGAGATGGGTGTTTAATTAAGTTAAAGAGCACCAAAAGGAAGAACTCAATTAGGAAAATAATAATAAATTGAAAACACTTGAGCGATGCAAACTATTTTGCTGTATAGAACAAACTTATGGAAGCACAGTTATTCTTTTATGTGCTGACAACATCATCTAAACCAACACTTAAGCCGACTTCAAGGCATGACATTAAGTTCAAACTTAGTATCAGTGACCATTGGCCAGTGAGCCATTCTCGCACGGGCTGCTGGTGGTTTTATCTCCACCCTTCTTTGCGTAGAATCTTCGGTACATGGAGTCAACTTCAGTGAGATAGTAGGTGCCTGGTGATAGAAGGCTACAATCCTTGCTTGTCACAAAGTCCTTGGCCCCATATCTATGCTCCATCAGCTTCATGGTGTCGACAAATTTTTCTGGTGGAAACTGCAGGGAAAGCACATATATCAATCAAACAATAAGAATGGAGCTGAATGGCAATTAGAAGGTCTTGTGCAGCCAATCCCAGATCAAGGTTATGTACAGTCGGCGACATAATTCAATTATTGTCTCTGAAAGTAAATCTAAGGAACGAAGTATACCTCATGCCTCGACTTCAACTTCTCGCCAACATTCATCACAGTTGCAATGTTTGAAAGGCTAAAAGGATGTTGGCCCTCACGAAGTTGGAATGAAAACATTGTGGCACTTAAACCACTCCCATAGGAAAACATTACCACCCGTTTGCCCGCCTGGAAGTTATAATTGCAATCATGTAAGTAGAAGAAAAAATCTCACATTTAAGGTTAGAAGGCAAAGCCTTCAAACCCAAAAATAGTTTAAACACTTACCAGTGTGCTATTTTTATTGTGAAGAAGAGATGCAAATGCTGCATAGAGAGACGCAGTGTACATGTTGCCAACTTGTTTCGGAATCAAAGTGGCTGGTTGCACCTTTGCATCATATAGGGGCTTTGCGAGCTGCTGAGATGTCTGTAAATGCATTAATGTTAAGTGCTCATCAGTGACAAGTCCAGGTACAGCAATTATGGAATTCCAAAGACCTAATACGCCAGCAGTTTATCTAATTTAGGGTTTTAATTAGTTTACCTTGAGGTACAAAATGCAATTTATAAATTAACCAGAAAATTTTCACTAAGGCAATATACAAAAATGAATTTGAGAGGGAGAAAACCAACACGCCAGTGGCCTAGCGGTATCAGCCTCTTACTTCCCAAAGGGAGCTCAGGGGTTCAAGTCTCAGAAGGGACAAGTGTGTGTGAGTACCAACTAGGAAAAAAAAAATTTGAGAGGGAGAAAGATATGCATGTCAGAATTTGAAACAGACCTTTTCAAGATCACGGCTTTGGTAACTTTCATCACCAGTTAAAGTTGAAAATGGTCCCAGCTTTTCTTTAGTAACCTCATCAACAGAACTGTGAATAAATTAGGTATCATCAGTCACTGGATACATGCAAATCAAACAGATAAAAGGTTCTCAAAGTAAGACTATTTATAGAGAGAGTATTAAAATAAAAGTACCTTGCATTCCTCGAGAAATCATTGAACAACAATCGAGCAAAGCTCTTCTGTACAAGCTGCATTGGATCAAGTAATAGGAGAAAGTATTTCTATAAGTACACTAGAATTTCAATGATAAACCAAAAAAAAATATTAATTGAAAGAGCATAACAGTATCAGATAAATACCTTGTTATATGGAGAATGAAATACAAAATAGTCTGCATCAACCATTGAAAATTGTTTGCCCTCGAATTTCTCATACCTGTAGTAAGAAAACAGTTAGTTACATGGTAGCACAGATAATCTTAGAAGTCCGTATAAGATGAAGAAAACTGCTTCTAGAATTTTAATGGCAGCTTACTTGTTACAGAAACGTTTATAACAAGAATCCAGTGCCATGAGATAACAAGTTTGTGAAAGCTTCCCATCAACAACCTACGATAAATGAGAATTATTGAGTTATGGACTATGCTAAATACCTCCATAATAATAACATATAGGCTGCATAAACAAATCTTTTCATGTTTGATAATTGCTAAGGCACACAGTATAGAAGTTTAACATTTGATGGTTTCAAATCTTCAGACTCCGCAATCATTTTCATTGGTTTCAATGTTGATCAGAGCTATTAGGAAGAAAAGAAATTGATTCAAGTTAGATAGTGTTACAGAAATTGGGAAGTTACAAGTAGATTGCTAGTTCTTTTTTTTTTTTTCTTTCCTTTCTTTTCTTTTATTTTCTTTATATATATATTATTCTCTTTTTCGGTAGACAGTTAGCAAGTTTACTCTTGTATTCTTCCAATAAGTTATGACAATATGACATCATTAATTTCTACAAAAACTTTGAATAGCTATACAAATTAAGACCACATGGCTAAAAAAACCTCTCTCTCTGATGAACAAGCATTCATATATTACAAAGTTTACTGCAACAGATGCTATGCACGGGCAGACTATGTAGAGATCCCTCCCCCCGCCCCATTTTTAGAAACTATCATTTAGAAAATTTACAGTGTGGCCCCAATAATGGCTAGATGTGCTTCCTCTTTTCTTTTTTTTGGCAATCCATGAAACTTCATGATGAGAAATGCAAAAAAAAAAAAAAAAAAAAACAAAAAACAAAAAAGAGGCTCTAATCTTTTAACTTTCTGTAAGCAGTAGAATACCTTCCTAGAGCAGAAGGTTTCAACTTTGTGGGGGCATCATTGCCAATGTTTAGAAAATAGAAATTGTTTCAGCCAAATATATATATACACACACACACACATAATAATGTTACTTTTGCTTTATGTCCTCAATTGTAGCTTGTACATCAAATATCATATTTAATGGAAACTGGAATGAGACAAACAGAAAGACTAAAATAAATAATTAAATTGAATGCCTTTTGTTGCTTTGTCTTTTGAAACCAAGATGGAAGTGAAGGACACAACAAGTTGAACAAGTATTGAAAATGTTATGAAACAAACACAGAAGTAAAAGGGAATTCATGGAGGATTACCGGATATTCACTTGCAAGGTTGGGCTTGTAAAAATCGTAGACATGAGACATATGGCTCCCTCTGAATTTGCTTTCAAATGCAATTGGAGCATCAGGCCCAATCAGCATAGCAATAGCAGCGGCTCCACCAGTGGGCCGGGCTGGTCCCTCTGCGTAGACCTGATAACAAAAGCCTCCAGTAAAGAAATAGAACATAATGTACTACAAACAGATAGTAAAAAAATTTAGATAGATAGATATAATTATCAAAATGCATATAAAACAAATCCGATTCCAACAATATGGAAAATAGGAAGAAACGCTGCTACCGCAACATTTCAAATGCTCATATAGTCTTGGACTTGTAGTGAACAAAGAAAGGGAGGCAAACCTTTAAGAAAAACAAGTTCCAATTCATCTTAGTTGAAGGAAAAGTATATCATATGAAGGAAATTATCATACCGCACTATCTGTGCACACAACAAGTCCATAACGTCCATCCCATGAACAACTCTCTACCCAGTTGACACAGTTGAATAAAGCTGCAGTTCCGCCATAGCATGCATTGGTTGAGTCCACACCTTCAATATCAGTATTTCCACATTCCTGCTTGTTTGACATGAGTAGAGAAATTAAATTTGTGACAACAGGCCTTCAAGATTTACTATAACCAGACATAAAAAAATGCACCAAACATATTGTGTTTTAGACAAAGATTTACACAGAAGATGGGACACAAGAAATCAAGGAATAAAATATCTCAAATGAAATTTTTATGGCATAGTACAGGAACATACAAGAAAGTAATTTGAAGCCACAACCTGGTACCAAATGGCTGGACCCACGCTCAGATATGAGTAATTTTTGTCATTTGACAAACCCTTCACTACTAACTGCTAAATCAAACTTTCTGCTTCTAAAGTAAAAACAGGGGCTAAGGTTAATAACCAACTAATGATTATACTTATATAACCATCCTATATCTCAGTTAGCTTTGATTCCAGTAGACCAATTTATGATCACAACTCACAAGTTCAGTCACATCATGACCAAAAAAACAAGAAGAAGAAGCTTTTTTCTCAACTACTTGGGAATGGCTACATGACAAATAATACTTTCAAATGAGAAAAGCATCAGTATAAAAAAGAAATGAATTAATACCTCAAAGACTTGCATTAGGAATGTCTTAATGGATTTGCTCTTGTCTATAACAGTCTCACTGCCCACTTCAAGTCGACCAATCTGTTTTGGATCAATCCCGTATTTCTCGAGAAGGGAAGTAACAGCTGTCAAACTGAAATTGAAAGATGTGTTACTAAAAGTGACAAATATTTGAAGTTTTGAACCAAAATTTTAAAGGACCTCATGAAATGATAGACCAAGTAAAACATGAAATTATTCAAACTAGAAGACAAATAATACAAGATGAATATCAAAACAGACCTTTCCAATGAACCCTAAAAAAAAAAATACAAGAAAACAAATAGACGAACAATGGACAAACAGTTCATAAGCAGTGAATGACATGAAAAATGAGCTTATAACTCTTCATTTATGATAGATTTTCGATAAAGTAAATAGGTACTAATTAGTTGGAAAAGATTCTGGAACAGTTTCCAATATGACAAACGGGGAATGGATTCTTCGTGCAGTTTTGATCCTCATTATGCCTAAATTGAATAAGTATGGCTTATTTCTTGTTACAGGGTTTCAACTCAAATCATCAACTTTTTAGCAAAAAAATGATGGCTGCATTCCAATCCTATGACATTGTATCGCCAAGATGCTTCCTAAAATTTTTAGACTATCACAAACATATTATTGAATGAATAGTTATAGAAATTGAGTATATCTTCATTCTTCACGAAGAGCTTCATAGAAGTGCAACTAAAAATCAGTTTTCTTTAGCACAAATGATCACAGCTTCCGAGAACATGGATCAACCAAGTGATTAGTAGTCATCGTATTTCTATATAACTGTCACACAGCATGTGAAATGCTACGAAGCAAAGATAAAATTGATATTACATGCACATGCTACTTGCAGTCAAAAATACAGTAAAGATCAGTTGTAGTGGTTGAACCTCATTGAGATGACATCTTCAACTTCTGTGCAAAATGCCAAGCAGTCTTGTCCGAGTCCAATGGTGTATTTCCCTTTACTCACTCCATCATGAGCCTCCAGTGCCTCCTACAGAGTACGTGTAAAAGAAAATTGAGAACTCTTATGGCTATGTCCATTTTAATATCTTTTAGATCTTTGAAGCACATAGACACTAAATAGCCAACAAAAATCTTAAAACCTGGACATATTAGGATAGTCCAGAGAAGAAAACAACTATAAAACCATCCTGTGACCACACAATTGTACGCTGACAATTTATTTGATTCAGATACACATGTTACATGTGTGTGTGAGAGAGACTAATAACCTGGATCATGGTCAACAGCTCTAAGATTTATGAAACAATTTTAGGAGCTCAAATAAACAACGTTGAAATTCCTTTAAAAACAGAGCAGTTAACAATTAAAATTATATAGTTACCAAGCATATTCACACTAGGACCCAGAACAACAACTTAAGAGATTTATATAAGAAAAATAAATGCATAAGCTTCTGAAATTTACGATTATACATATAATTCTAAATTTACACAGATCGTTTTAAACAAAATGTCCCAACTCAAACTAGACCCATATCAACACAAATTTGTTAAACCCTGTTATATATAGGTATACACATACATGCACAAATTTTGAAAATTTCAGGTCGTAATTAGAAAAACATGGAAAAGAAGAAATTGGACTTTTTCATGAGAATTTTTTTGAAAAATAGTTTCCACAAATGAACATCCAAACGGATTTATCCACCTCATTTCCACTTCATTATTCTCTCCGAAGAAAACAAAACCCAAATTGATTTTTCAAAAAACAGAACTAAACACGCACTTAAAGCTTCTGAACGAAGTGAGCCAGACAGATGGAATTAAAGAAACATAGTAACATGTCAATCGAATTGAAGAAGTACAGAGAAGGAAGGCTGAGATTTGTTCACCTGTTGGATACAAGTAGGAGGGAAGTAGATTTCCATGGCGAGAATTCCCACATTTTTCTGCTCTGAAGATCCCATTTCTTCTTTTTCTGCTCTGTTACCTCGATTTCTCGACACACACAAACAGAATGAAAGAAGCGGAGGCTTTTCTCTCACTTGCTCCTCTTCTAAGAGATTCTAGAGCAGAGAAAGAATTTAGAGAGAGAAAGAGGAAGTGAGGGAATATCCTGGAAAATCGCAAATGAAGAGAGGTGTGAGGAGGCTCAAATGTTTCCGTTTGATATATATAGAGAAGTGCGAGCTTAGTCCCCCAAAGAAAATACAGTATACTTGTGAATTTAGAGGCAGACTGCCCACCACCTTCCACCTATTTACGTAATCTGCCATTGTGCAAAATACGAGTAAAAAGAGTATCGAACTTGGACTGGTCCATCAAATTCGTCAACTTGATATTTGTTATCCTAACCGGCCATAGTCATTTCCGTTTGTGAAAGACACAAGATTTTAAAAAATATGCCTTCTCATTCAAAGGAAGCAAATTTAACATAAAAAATTATCTGAATTTAGTTTAGTGGTATTTTTTTATTTTTTAAATAAAAGTTTCAGAGTTTAAGTTTTGAACAAATGAATATGTAAGTTTTTTGTCAAAATAAAATAAGTATAAAAAAAATAATAAAAAAACCAAAAATCGTGATACACTTACTATATGCAAATATATGGTATATGCCGGCACAAAATTGGTAAAGAAAAAAAAGGTATACAGGAAAGAATTGAAGTTTTTATTCCATTATTGAGTAACGAGGGTCTACATGAATCATTTGTGATACCTAAAGTTGGAACAGTCTCAAAAGGACATTTTATGGAACCATTGAAATCCCAACCACTTAAATCCCCAATAGAACACATTAACACCACCTTCATTCAAATGGCCCTATTGTTTTAGAAATCACAGCTGGCATTAGCACCACCTTTATTTCATAATCAATTGCTGATTTTTTTGGGTGACAGACTCATTAAATTACTCTATAATTTACAAGAAGCTATCAGTTTGCTCATACCAAATACTCTATAATTTATAGATAATACTTAAAGTCCAACTCAGGTTGGATGAACTTCATCCAACATACTAATGTGACAATGAACTTCATCCAACATACTAATGTGACACAATCGATCTAAAACAAATATTCAAAAATAAAACTTAGGATTTAAAATACATGTTCAAAAGTAAAAGTTAGGCTAAACCCAATTCAATTTTATATTTAATTTTAACCCTTGTCGCAATTTTATTGGGCCACATTAGCGAGTTGGACTCAAATATTGTTCATAATTTATCCTTTTTACAAGAAAATATCAGTTTGTTATCTCTTTGTTAGTCTGTTCCGCTTTCCTTCTTAAAATGCTAGAATTCCATTTCATATTGTATATATATATATATGGGTAAAGTGTAAAAGAAAATCTGCTATATAAAAAATTGCAAAAAATACATGTACTATTTAATATGTACGTATAAATTCCTCATATTTGAAATATGTGCAAATTTCCCCCTAAGTTTTAAAAAAAATTGTTCACTGTCAATTTTGACTAAACTTTTTTTTTATAAAAACCTCAAAATACCCTTAATAATCTCTCTCTCCTCTCTTTCTCGGTTTTTTAAATTTTTATTTTTTCTTGAGAACATTTTAGGTATTTTAGTTTTTTAATTAAAAAATATATATATCCTTATTTGTTCAATTTGATAAATATAGAAATTTTTTTGAACACTAGATATTTGCATATTCGATATATTGCAGTGATTTTTTTTTTTTTGCACATTACATATATATCAAAAATGTGTAATTCATTATAAAACAAATATGGGAGGAAAATATATATATATATATATATATATATATGAGTTAGCGATTAAAATGGAGCTTTCATAATTAAGGCCATCTTATTTGGAATCCATCAACTCTTCATAAATGCAGAACCCCCTAGTACGCACCATCAACCGTCCCTTTAAAGAACCAGACATTATCAACCACCAAGTCTTTTTCAATGGATGTATACACGCATAGCATCTTTTGGTGGCACTTTCAATACTTTATAATTGTTGAAATTGGACGGAAATCTACCAACCAAAATAAAAATTGGATCCAACCATATATGGTTCATGTTCACATTTTCTTGTGCTACATGGTGAAGGTTTTACCGTACTTTTCAATTAATCTAACAAATATCATATAGTAAAAATACACCAAATGATGACAAGTCTATTTAAATAATTAAATATTTTTATTTTTTGAAAAATAAATGATAAGTTATTGTGGTCATTCACGCATAAATGATAACTTTGTGATTTCTTCTTACTCTCAAAATACTAAAAAGCCATTGTAATAAATATTACATATCAAGGCATAAATATATATATATATTTCATCTTTAAGATACACGCATCACTCCCATATTTACTTGACTCGTTTAAAGATTCGAACACTCACCATCCACCATCCATTTTAAAAGGTTGAAAAAATACCACCAGACGATTAAAAAATTGTCTAAGTCTAAACCAAAAGGATTTCTTAGTCAATTTTTTAAAATACACATACAAATAAATATTATTATTATATTTTTTTTCTAATAAAGATCTTCTACAATATTCTTAGGAAGTTTTAAAAGTTAAACTCTCTAAATTTTACTATGAAACTAAAAAGTGTAACACTAAACTACAGACCTCTTACATAAATATTAATTTGAGGAGTAGTGCTACAAAAATCAATCCCTTTTTGTAGTTCTCCCAATGGAAAGAATCCAACAAGACTCCTGTGAGCATTTAAAAAAATTCAAAACACTTTCCTAAATATCTATAACAAAAATCATATCAGTTATATAGTTGTATAAAAGTAGTGAGTAAAATATATGATTTTTCTATATCTAGTGAAACTTTCAAAATTTAGCAATTATAGTTGGTGGCACTAAATACAAGGTTGTTAAAAATGAGAATCCCCAATTATCTTGAGATACCCATTTTCAGCCATGAGTGGTCGTGAAAACTGTTCAAGATTCAACCATATTATTATTATATATATATATATATATATATATATATATATATATATAGAATATAAGAGGTTGGTAGGCAGGCATTGGTAGCATGCCAATGTTGATTTTGATTGAAAGAATTAAGCTGACTTTCATTTAGTAGGACAAAATATTTTTATTCCCAACTGTAAATGCATTTAGAAATTGAGTACGTAGTGAAGCCATTTAGACTACTTCAATTTAGTTTCAGATTTTAAATACCTTTCTCTGACTTTCAAGTAAAACAAGGCGGCGGCTAACTTTGGTAAACACATGAAAAACGGACTACTTATTGTAACGTGACACATAATACAAATAATAGAATGTGGATATGAAAAAACATACTCTGCATATAATACTACTTTCTTATTATCTTTTTGGGTATGCATGATAATTTTTTGTTTCGCCACTCTTCTATATATTCAAACAATATATATATATATATATATGTAAGTGGGAAGTGTAAAAATTCCTCCAGTTATATGCTAAATATTCAAATATTAAGTTAGTATTTAAAAAAATCTCTACATTTTTTAATTTGAGCAAATAAAGATATTTTGTCAATTTGAAAATTAAAATACCTAAAATGTCCCTAAGACAAAATAAAAATTAAAAACACTGATTTCATAAGACACTGATTATTAAAAGTATTTTAAAATTTTAATAAAAAAAAATTGGTCAAAATTGATGACCAGGGCTAATATGTATATATTTTTAAACGTTAAAGATTTACATGTACATATATACTACTCCAATGCTTTTTTGCAATTTTTTTATATAGCAGAGTTTTTTTTTATACACCTTACTCTATATGTAATTTGGAGAAGTGAAGAGGTGTTTGGATCAGCTCAACTTAATTCACACAATTTTTCTCAACGGGAGTCGTTTTCATTGTTTTGATCGCGCTCCAGCTCCACACACTCTCTCATTCCTGTTTGTGACTTCATTTTGTCGATTTTGCGTTCCGACTCTTAAATTCGCTCTTACTTTCGCTCTCGTTCCCGCTTTATATGATTTTGAACTCAACTTGAGACACTACAAATTAATCCAAATGATTTTATACATGTGGTTTCTATTTTTTATTTATTTGGCAACATCATAGACTTTCATTTTTCTCTTCATTTTTTGTTTTAACGACAAAAAACAGTTGTTGAGATAGTCTAAGTTTAGGCTAGTAAGGAAGGTCGACTATGGTATTTTATTGCATCATATGTTAGAAAATTGAGATTAGAAAATTGGGTGCTTGCTTGGGTTGACTTTACATGTGTGAAAATCATAATTGAAAGGAAATAATGAATGGAGGCTTGTTTTGGGCGTTTTTTGACGTCAAATGAAGAATAATACTTGTGTTGGTGAACTTTGGTCTAAACCTTACTACTTGGTTGAAAATGAAGTCACTCAAGAATAGGCCCCCCTACTTTTTATAACACAAAAGTCTTGTAAGACCAATATTTTAAAAATCAATATTTGGTTTATTTATTTATTATTATTATTATTATTATTTTATTTCATCCTCGCACAAAAACAAATATATTGATCGTCCTATTTTTCATTAGTTTGAAAAGAAGTAATGAGTACATAATTTTGCTTCTATTAAAGTTTGGACATTCAACCTCTTTTAAAGAAAAAGAATAATTTATACCTTCTGAACTAGAGTTTATTAATATAAGAGAAATATATATTTTAATTTCATATATTCAGTTTAATACTTGAGGATACATTCGTCTCTCACAATTTTCATGAGATTACATGTTTAGAATGATAATAACAAATTCAAGGCGGTGAAAAATAAGAAAATTAAATAATTATTTGCCCAAAAAAGTTAGATATTTTATTAATTCATTTCAATTTATTTGTGATATATTTCTTTTGAGTATTTTCAAATCAAACAAGTTTTAACAAGTTTTATAAAGTTTTAACAAACTTAATCAATGAATTCCTATTGAAAAAGTATTCTCTCCATTTTCAAAGCAATGCTTATTATTTCAAGAATGCAACACTCATATCAACACCTCACTTTAAAGTAATGCCAATTACATTCTCAAAGCAGTATATATTTAAACAACAAAGTATAATACAAATATTTGTACAGTGGAAATAGGGTCCATTGTTCCCATGTTTTGCACTAGTCAAACAAATACCGATCATATATATATACATATATAATATGTTGTTATAAAGGGCCCAAACAGCTGGAT